AATTATTTGATAAATGTTCAAAATAAGGTCGTTTTTCAGTGGTTAGAAATTACATTATTTTGTATTTTTTTTATTTAGTAACTGGTCATAAACCTTTAACCCAAAGATTTAGGTTTGTTATAGAAAAAAAAATATATACTGTCCTCATCATTTGCACATTACGCTGGTGAAAAAAAAAGTAGTTCCTTTTTTAATTACAGGTAGATAAAAACTACAAGCTAACAATTTGTTAGTTTGATAGAAAAAGTGTAATTATTATTATTTACATCTACAGGTAATTCAAGCAGCTTTTGCTACAACAAAAGTTCAAAACTAGGCCAAGGCTAGTTAGATGGGAAGTAAACAACTAGATGACAAATAGGGTAATTCAAATTATTTCAGATGTGTGTGTTCCTGTGGCAGATCTGCCTCAGTCAATTAGTATGTGAAGAATTTTTTTCTTACATTTTTTAAAAATCTATATATTTTCTATATTTTTTGTCCCCTCTATTCAAACAGTTTTCATGTTGATAAATCTGTCTGCACAACATTAACATAAACCTTTTTACATCTATAGCCAGCATCAAAAACTGTGTTTACAAAGCTTTTCTTACCGAGTTTGGCTCTGGACTCGTCCAGTCTCTGAATCTGGTTCTCTATCAGGAGCATCGCCACTCCAAAAGCCAGAACGGCTAACAGCTGGATCCTGGGCGGCATCATGGTCCTCAGCAGCCCCATCAAACAAGCACATGAATCATTCCGTGAGCTGAGCTGAATCACTGCTGCAGGCAAAACAGCCCCAGTGCTGCTAGCAGCTAAACAAAGTTAGCTCCGTTTTTAATTTACCGACTTAAACGACACTAAATCCAACTCATGTGGCCGATGACTTCCATTAGGTGATGCTGAGTTTAGCAGGTTAACACATCAATAAAACTAAACACCACCACTGAGCTAGCTTCGGTGCTAATGAGGGACTCGTGGTAACGTCATCTTAAAATAAAAACAAACTCGTATTAAGCTTAGATTTTACTTATCGCGAGCGATAATGTGCTCTCACCACAACCATGGTAGGTTTGAAACTAAGAGGACATCTGGTCATAAACTGCAGAGTTGTCGGTGTTTTTAGCAGCTGAGCTTTAGCGGTTCGGTTTTTCTTCGTCACCTTAAAAAATCACACAGACTTGTGATGAAATGTCCCCTTCCGCCACCTGCTGGACGACAGTGTGTAGTGTTTCAAACCTGATTAAAAATATTCAAACATGTTTTTGTAATTAAATTACACACAAAAAACTACTTTTAAAACCTTTTCAAGCATAATTTATTATTATTATTATTATTATATTTGTTTTTTAAGAAGTTTACAATTGTATAAGTTGTTGAATTTTATAATTTTCTCAAATTTAAATTAGAGAGTTAACCAAGACAGTACCCACTCAGCAATAGAAGTACTAATTTCTCATGTTGGAGGACCTGAAGCTACTCAGTTTTTTTTTTTTTTTCCATTAGCAGACCAGTGATGCACAGTTAAACCAGTAGATGGTGGCAAGGTTCCAAGAATGAAGCACAGTAGTGTCAGTCTGGCACATGACTAACCTCAGAAAAATAGGCTGCTTGTGCTCAAACATGTTGAGAGCTGAGAGCTGTTCACAACACATTTCATCTGACATCTCACAAGAGTGTGCGTAATGTCATTGACAAGAGTGGTTGTCAGTCTTGTTTGTTTGTTTGTTTGTTTGTTTGTTTGTTTGTATGTTTTGTGATGGACTGGTCCTTATCTGCAAAGCTGCATGAATAAAAGGGGGGGCAGTGTTGACTTATCACCATATTATCAAAAACAAATATTATGTGATATAGAAAAAAAGAAAAATCTGAACTTTTGAGCTCACTGTGAGAACAAGCTATAGCAGTCCATGTACAGTTTTTTTTTTTTGAGACAAAAAGGAAATAAAACAAGTACTTGATACTAAGATCCATCCAGATCTACTGGATTGTAGATCTGGATAAGTTTATTAAACAA